TGACCATCCGTTGTTAACTTTCGTTTCCTCTAGTCTTCATCTTATGTAGTATGTTTAGGTGAACTTTGATTTAGTGAAATAACTAATAACACAATCTCAGCGTCGTTTTGAAACTTCCATAGTGTTATAACTCAGTGGCTTATAAGTTACAGTCGTTATTCTTTTGAGTGAACAATATTTAGAATTATGTAGATTTTAATCAGAGATTATTTTAATGCAATTTTTACATTTAATTTCTTCTGTGCACTTGGCCACCACTTTTTGTCAAAATGTACATACGAATTTCGATGAACGTGCTCATACAGGCTATCAGTTCATATAGTATTCTGTGCAACAAAATTGACTAAATCATACACTTGTACTTGAATGTGAGCATGTATATCTAAAAAGTACTATAATATGTATTGTTCTGTACATACGTTTGGCTTTATTTCAACATAACAGAACTTTTGTGGCTATCCCAAACAATTATTCATATTAGGTAAGGGGCTAATGCATTCAATTTATCTTTTTTCTCAATTAAGATTGTGTAAATATACGCCAAGATTAAGATAAAACGTTACAAATAATTACACTATAACGTGTATTTAAGCTAAGATAACGTTTTTTTGGGGATAAATTCCTTCACAGGGAAAAACACTTAAACAATCCAGTAGAACACTTGAACGTGATGACTATTTATGTCCATCAAAACTGCTGAACGTTTATCAGTCAATCGATGGTACACCCAATTGGCATCGTTATTGTTACACTATTGAACTAAGAAGTGTAAAAAATATTCAAGGTTTCGACCATGAGTTACAACTTTACGCCAGGTATGTGAAACTTTATTTGACTTCGACTATACACTACTGATATTTTTAAATAATTAGTGGGGTTTCCGTAATGTTGTTACTGTTAAACAATGAGGGCTTTAGATAGTTTTTAAACACTCCCATTATACCATTATAGTTTTAATGTCAACTTAATAGCTAGTTGAAACTAAGTTTGTTAAAAAATGACTTTTTTTATAGGTAAGACAGCATTGTCATAAACAAACGAAATTATGTATTAATTAAAGAATAAATATACAACACCTTGTCAACTAACATTGCAACTTACTAAAGTACATAAAGAGGGAAGAGAGATTTTTTTCACAAAGAGATTGTACTGTAACGATGGTGATTATTGTTTGCTATAATTGTCTTTATCCAGTTTTCCAATCAAAGGAATTTATACAACTCATCAATAGGTTGCTGCTTTTTAGGAGCTTAAATAGATTTTATGTATATATACTCACTAGAACTTTAAAAATTTAGTTGCACTGTTTTTAAGGGGGATATTTAGTTGTATCGCCAACTTTCTTTCTTTAATCCAGAAAATATTATGGAACTAAATGTTTGATAATTGATGTTATTATTGTTTAAGTTAGAAGACTGTATTAGTTCTCGGAATTTATTTATGCATAACTCAATGAATAGTTTTACAGTAATTAATTAATTAGTTCACGTTATAAATTTGCATTCGAGCTGATAAAAGCAGCAATAATAGTTGAAAGTCATTAAAGACAAAAGCAAAAATGACTAATTTAATTTAGTTGAACAAATAAAGAGTACACTAACTGATAAGTAAGCAAGTGGTTGGTTTGCTATTCGAAAAACATTATAACGTCAAGAAACTAAGTAGTAAAATACTAGTTATTTTTATGTAATATAGGTCATATAAATCTTCAAAAAAGCTCTTCATTTCTAGAATGATCCCAATAGTTCTATCTGAATCCATCTTTTTACTATACGAACAAAAACATGGATAATATTAGGTATCTTCAATCACCTAGCTTCTTAATATGTTACACGCGATGGTAAGTCAATTGGACTAGTGGTTATATTTCAACTTTGATAGAATTTGTTCATCACTGAAAGAACTATATAAACATGACAGAGTTCACTACACAGTACTTAATCAATTTAAGGACAAATAAATTAATCAGGAATAATTTGTTCTCTTTATTTACTTAATTAGCTTGTTACCCTCGTGGAAAAGCATAGGCCTCCTACCAGCATTCTCCATGAAACTTTGTCTTGAACAATCCTTTCCAGTTCCTATTCATCCTTCTCATATCTGATTCCAATTCCCGATGCCATGTGTTCTTGGTCTCCCACTCTTCAGTTTCTCTTCAGAATTGCAAGTTAGCACTTGCCTCGTGATGCAGTTTAATGATTGCCGCAATGTACGTCCTATCTACCTCCGGCGTCATTTCCTAATTTCCTCTCCAAATGGAAGTTGGTTTGTCCTCTCCCACAGTAGGTTGTTGCTGATGGTATTCGGTCAACGGGCATTGAGTATCTTGCGTAGACAGTTGTTTAGAAATACTTGTATGTTTTGATGATAGTTTTAGTCGTTCTCGAAGTTTCAGCTCCGTACAGTAGAAGTGTCTCGATGTTCGTATTGAAGATTCTCACCTTGGATGTTGGTCTACAGATAGTTGTTTTGAATTCCACATGCTATCCAACTGTAGGAATGCTGCTTGTGCTTTGCCATCCGCTTCTTTCCATCTGCACCGGATCCTCCTTGTTGTGTTTGAGGATCCTGCTTTTTCCTTTTTCTACATTGAGGCTTACTGATGCAAACACGGCTGGTTCACTGGATATCTCCACCTGGATTCGTTGGTGTTTATGAGGTAGAAGGGCTAGTTTAACTGTGAAGTTCAAATCGTCTAGTTTGTATTCAAGCTGTCCATTGTTATCCGTGCATTTCCTCAGATGTGGAGGTCTCCGAGATCCAGTCAACCACCAGAAAAAAGGGAAAGGTAGAGAGTGGTCAGCGTTGTCTGACTCCGGTCCGTCGTTGATGGAGTGACATCTATAGAAAGATGTGTGTGCTGCTTCGATGTCTGTGGATTCATTGGAGCTGGCCTATTCAAGAGTTCCTCGAAGTGCTCTACCAATCTGTTCCTCTGTTCTTGAATTTCACTGATTGTCTCGTCTTCCGTGTCCTTGACTGGTCCCTCTGGTTTACTATATTTCCCTACCAGTTTCTTCGTTGTATCATATAGTTGTTTGATATTTCTTTCTGTTACAGCTTTTTCCTTTGTCATTGGTAGGTGTTCCACGTATTTATGCTTGTCGTGCTTCGATTTGGGCACCCGGACAACATAACAGCCTTGATGCCAATCAATGATAACTACAAATGACCTGATTGTTATTGTATGTCTCATATGAATTTGGTGCCCACTTGTGCCAATGTTTACGTGTTCAAGTAAATAAATAACTGAGCAAATAAATTTCTACTTGTCAGTTCTTATGCTCCTATTCACTTGCCTTCTTGTTTCAGTTTAATTAGCTAGTGCCTCGACGTTCTCTGTTCTTGTTCAGCTATTGTTAATTGCTGCCTTTCTGTTCAGTTGCAGCTTCTTGTAAAAGTGATGTTTATCATTGTCTTTGCTATCATCGGTGGGTGCATGACATTGAATAAATTCCATTGTGATTCCCTCATTCCTTGTTTTGAATGATGCTTTGATGATTGTGGATCCAAAGAGATTCTCATCTTGTGAGTTCATTATGTGCTTCTATGAACAGCATCAGAGCAACTTTCTGAGTGTGTGGTGCATTTTCCTCTTCGTGACCAGATTATAGCAACATCTTACCCTTATCTAGCCTTTTGGTGTTCTGTTTGATTCCAATGGGCCTCACTTATTCCGAGCAGTGTCAAGATGTGGTTGTTATAAAGGGCATCGGACTAGTGGCTTCAGAAAAATCTGGGTGTTTACCATGAGTTGTCATAATTCTTCTGAATGAAGATGCTTGAACTCGGAGGAACAAGTTGAAATAATTTAAATTGTGTTTTGTGGTTATTGTTGTTTCAGCGAGATTGTTTCATGTGGGATCGGAATTCTGACCCAATACCCAATCTTCCTCCTTTGTATGGGCTTGGGACAGGCAGTAACGCTGGAAGAGCTTCAGGTGTTTTTTCTCCGTATTTAGTTACCTAATAATTTCTGGTGTGAATTTCCTTTTCCATTAGTTTTGCATAAAAAATTCTTTACAAACTTTACAACTGATTTTAACACATAATATTTGCTAATTATTCTTAGTGCTGACAAAATTCTGTTAACCACTTTGTGAAATGGCTAGAAGTCAAACTGATTGACCCAATATTTCACCCCACCTTTGTTGTGCAATTAGCTGGTTGCAGATAATCGACTAGCAACATTAAAGCTAAGTTTCTTGGCACTTATCAAACATTTGTCGTACAGATGTTATTAATCTCAGACCTCGTATATTAGTGATAACTCCCTGACTGAGGTATACTGACTCACATTCTTGAAAATCATCTGACAGTTGGTTGAATTTAGTCCCGTGAAGCTCATCATCTTTGTTTTAGACGATGAGAATTCAGCATTTAAACTTTCTGGTTTAGGGAATACAATCTCACTAAAAGCATTCACCAGTGCTGAATACCTTTTTCCCTACCCTTATTTATGATCTTACAGATATGTATATCCATTGTTTGGAAGTGGAGCCCCAGTTATGACACTTCCACCGATTGCCGTAGCCAGAAATCAAGAGGTTATTCTTCCGCATGGGTTTTGTGCTTTCGAGTTTGCTGCATCGCCTGAAGAAGTAAGATTTGTTTTAATGAAGAAATCATTGTATTTTGGTTTACCAAGCTGGTTTGAGTTATACGTGTCTATCTTCGTAAAATTTCCACCTAGTATTTGACAAGACATCTTTCTAGAGTATATTTTATCATAGGGTTTTCGAACCACTGTACTTTATTCAATCCTGTGGTAAATTCTTTAAAATGAAACGAGAAGGTAAAGAAAACATCAGAGTAATCTCTTGAGTTTTATTTACCCTTCGAATCCATATACAGGACTGAATCTGAGGTTTTTATTTAGTAATGGAAATCATGCAGCATATTTCACATTTCGAGGGACCCATCAGTTGTATGTAGTTGTTGCACAGCAGACTGAATTAGTTGTTTTTTTCCGGTAGAGATGATCATTTACTTATAATCCCGATGATGTTTAGTCAACAGCTACATGAAACACTCATGAATGTTTTTAGGTAATGTTTAAGTCTGAAACCAACTTCGATATTTCTTGTGCTAAGTAGATGGAATTGTATAAATCTGTTAAGCTGAAGTGTTGTTGCCAAGGCTTATTGGTAGCAGAACAATTATTTAAAGCAAGTTTTTTAATAGCCATATAAGACTTTATTTATTTCTTCTTATTGCTCTAGAAGGTCACAATTTCAGTCTACGGTTGCTTTAAGGCTTTCAAAAGAAACTATTGTCAGAAACCGTCTGCGTTAGATTAAGATGTCACTTATTTGTGACAGACCAGTTTCCGAAAGATTTCGTAATTCGGAGCTACAAATAAATTCATTCAAACTTAATCAGTTCGTAAAACTAACTCGCTTTAAGAATTACCTCCTTAAACAGCTCAGTGTTATGTATGTCAGCATTAGATATAGAATGTAAAACAAATCTCATTAATCCGCATAGTATTACAGGACAAGTACTAGGAATAGTGAGCTGTTATACAATTTAACCAAAATTTCATAGTCTGTAGAACAGAGCTCAATTAATTTGCACATTCAGTAATGATAAGGAAGTTATATAAAGAACCACCAGTGTAGAGTAAAACTTACGAAGTGATTTTATAAAGCAAAAGTAACCCATACCTTTTAATGAGATCATGACAAACTTCATTGTCAGCAGATTATTTCCCAATTAATTTTACTCGAGCGGTTCATCATCACCATAGTCAGTCATTGTCAAGGAAGAACAAAATATTGATCCTAATATGAGAGTGTTTTTTATGTGCAAATGTTAGTTGATAAAATAACTAAGTTGACTTGTCTGGAAACGTGTATGAATAATTATATGCTCAAGATAAAATGCCAAACAGCATGGCAAAATACTTTTAATTACTTCAACCTTTTGAAATTAGTAAGGTTGGGACTAAATGTTAAGCACTGATCCTAGCAATCATTATAATTTGAAGGATTTATTTGACAACACAAACTAATAAAGTGACTAATTTCCCTTAATGTTAGTAGTCTTCTGTCAAGTAAATACATTTAATTCACATTGCAGTTTATATTTATGTGTGACCGGATAGTTGTAAATAGTGATCACATGATCTTATCAGGATTATGATGACTTCAGAATGATCTTAGACACTTACGTTTTCAATGGTTAGAACGGAAATTCAGTCAATGTATATTATTGATTGGTGGAACTAACGTAGCAGCTCCTTCACTGTTACACGACTACATGATTTATTCTGAGTTTTAGACAGATAAATTAATCTGATTTTTTGGCGTCATTATGTACACATGTATTCGCCATTGTCAATTATACACTGGCTACCTCGGTTGTTTTTTATGGGTGTATGTCTGAGCGTGTGTGCGTGTCTATCATTTATTCCGTTCTCCTGTTTGTCTGACTAAAAATATGGAGTCACGTTTGGTTAAATTGAGTTGGTTATATACGTTTTATTTATCATCGATGACTGAGGACAAATGAATTAAGTAAGAACTAGAATAAGTGTTCCTGAATATATATTTCAGTAATTACATTCACTGAGGTGTACAGTAGTAATAAACTATCAAAATGTAATTGGATTGAATGGAAACAGATGGACTGAAATAATATTAGTATTGTAAAAACACCAGAAATAAGTCTCTTTGTAACTGAATTGAATTTATATTGTTACTGGCACTGAAAGTTGATAGGAATTATACTATAATAGAAATAATACTGGCAAGAATAACCAGCAATTAATTGTATTGTAGTAAAATAAATCCAGAGCTGGATTAGGCTGGTCTAATCTTCATTGTATTGAAATGAATACGAACTTTCCAGAGTGTCAATTAATAAGCATGTCTTAAGCATTTATATACCAATATAGTGATGGAATATGATGAACAAATAAATGGTTGGGTAACCAAACAAAGGAAGATTTTTAGTGGCCCGTTGATCTGATTCCGATTCCAAAGAATAAATATGCTGTGAATATAAACCCTCCATTCAATTTCGTATATTACGCCTAGGTTAACCCCGTTAAGAAGAAGCCAAATACAAATCGGGTTGGATGATTGACTTCATACACTCGTTTACCCAAACAGATATCGAAAATGAAAAAGCAGAAGGCAAATGTTTCAACTTCCTTTTGTAGGGCGTAACTCAACTATAGCCAGAAAAACATAAGCTTGATATGTGTGAATTGGATAAGTGACATACACACATACTCTCATATAAAAATAGTCAAGGTTAATAAGCTAGTGATTGACAAGGTTAAAATGTGACTGAAGAAGAGTAAATAACTTGGTCTGTTCAGAAGCTAAAGTAACACATATGGGCTTGACATGGTACTAGATATAATAGATTCACGTATTAGGCATTCGAATTATTCACAAAATTGGTAACAAATTAACCAAAAGAATTGAATTAATTCACTTGACAGTCATATGCTCATTCACATATCGTATTCTAAATTGAATATACAATTATGTTCATTTAACATGTCTATTATTAAATACCATGGTTGACTATTTGTGTTGCTTTTGTAATTTCACTTCATCTCTTATCGTCGCCTACATTATCGAATGTCTAAAATAGACATTGTTCAAATAATTTCATTTTCGACTTTGTTTTATTTACGTTGTTATTATGGAGATAATATAAAGTCAAATAGGATATACATTTTATTAACGTTATCCAACTGTTATGAAGTCAAATATTAACTTATGACTACATCAAGTTGTTAATCTATTTATGTATTGTCTTTTAATAAAAATAAACCATATACTCATTTCTATTTACAGACCTATTGAAATAGTGTTTTTTTTAAAAAAAATTTTAATACTACAATCTTAGTTAAAAACTCGTCTTAATGACAATCCATTGAAAGTGGAATTTTTCGATCGATCACAAGGTACTTTAGCAACAGATTCCTTCATTGGATATTCCCTTATACCTTTAGTATCAGTCTTTGAATCATCAGTTGTTAAAGGTTAGAATTTAATTTAAAACTTTGTTTAACTATATTTTTGTTATTGTCGCTGTCATTGTTAATCACTACATCACATATTGAATTAAAAAGATCATTAAAATTGTTATATAATATTAACATAATAATAGTTATGATTCAAGCATCCTAAAGTTTATCTACAATTCCCTATTGATTATTGTGACGATAATTTTCATGTGTAAATTATATTTAAATGAAAAAGATAACTTAATAACCCTCTTACTTTTAAATAATGGGGATTTTTGTTTTCAAATTGCTTAAAACGTATTAATAGTTTATCAATAGCGATTGGTCGGTGGCTGGCACTGGAATCTTATTTGGAATTTTTCGATCGGATGTGCCTGTATGCAATAGTTAATGTTCACTCCGGAACCGGAAATCAGTACACGTTATATCAAGCACCATCGCGTTGTCCACTTGGCTATTGATTTAGAAAAGCCTCTGGTTTATACCATAGGGTTATTATTAATTCATTGGTTATTTATGGATCGAAATCCGCCCTATCTCACAAGCAAATGGCTATCTGAACTAAGTAGCTAAGCGGATAACACGGTGGAGTACGAAGTGCCATGTACTGGGTTCGAGTCCCGTGGTGAACATCAATGTTGGGATGAAAGTACATCTAGATAACGAGTCCCGAACGAGAGAACGCGCATCCAAGATTTTACAACTAGCCGTCAATTATATGAGCTTATGATTTTGACTGAATAGCGATTTCGAGACAGTCCTCACAGGATGTACATACGCCAGAAAAGGTTGTTCTATCTTAGTCCTAATCATAAATGGGAAGATCCGAGCAAACAATAAATAACAATTGTTTCTACAAGTATTTGCAATTTTCGATTGTTGATATTCAATTCCTTCCTTCATTACGCCTGATAACTCCCGTAGAGGAGCATAGGCCGCCCACCAGCATTCTCCATGAAACTCGGTCCCGGACATTCCTTTCCAGTTCCTATTCATCCTTTTCATATCTGATTCTGATTCCCGATGCCATGTGTTCTTGATCTCCCACTCTTCAGTTTCCCTCCAGAATTGCAAGTTAGCACTTGCCTCGTGATGCAGTTTGATGATTGCCGCAATGTACGTCCTATCTACCTCCGGCGTCATTTCCTAATTTCCTCTCCAAATGGAAGCTAGTTTGTCCTCTCCCACAGTAGGTTATTGCTGATGGTATTCGGCTAACGGGCATTGAGTATCTTGCGTAGACAATTGTTTAGAAATACTTGGACGTTTTGATGATAGTTTTAGTAGTTCTCGAAATTTCAGCTCCGTACAGTAGAAGTGTCTTGACGTTCGTATTGAAGATTCTCACCTTGGATGTTGGTCTACAGATAGTTGTTTTGAGTTCCATATGCTATCCAACTGTAGGAATGCTGCTTGTGCTTTGCCATCCGCTTCTTTCCATCTGCACCGGATCCTCCTTGTTGATCAATAATGCTATGCAGAGTTTCTCTATCAAGTGTGACTGAGTTGGTGCTCTCTATGTTGTGTTTGAGGATTCTGCTTTTTCCTTTGTCTACATTGAGGCCTACTAATGCAAACACGGCTGGTTCACTGGATATCTCCACCTGGATTCGTTGGTGTTTATGAGGTAGAAGGGCTAGTTTAACTGTGAAGTTCAAATCGTCTAGTTTGTATTCAAGCTGTCCATTGTTATCCGTGCATTTCCTCAGATGTGGAGGTCTCCTTAATCCAGTCAACCACCATAAAAAAGGAAAAGGTAGAGTGTAAGCAGCATTGTTTGACTCCGGTCCTCACTTGAAATTTGTCGGTGAGCTGTCTTCCATGCGCGGCTGTGCAGTGTATTTCGTCGTATGAATTCTGTATGCTGTTGACGACTTTCTCAGTTACTCATACCAAAATGTCGAATAATTTCCCATAAGTTTCTCCTATCCACACTGTAAAATGCTTTCTCAGAGTGAAGGAACTTGATATATGATGACGAGTTGCATTCAACTGATTGTTCAACAATGATGAGTAGTGTCGCGATTTGGTTTGTGCACGGCCGACCCTAACGGAATTCGAGCTGTTGATGTCGATGTTGGGTGTCTACTGAGTCTTTCATCCGTTTTAGTAACACTGTGTTGAAGACATTTCCTGTTAGTGATAGTAGTGTGACGCCTGTGTATTTCTCACACTTGCTCACATCTCCTTTATTTGGTATGTTGATGAGGTGTCCTTCTTTCCAGTCTGTCAGTGTCACTTGTTCTTCCTCACATATCTTTCTGAATACAACGTGGACCATGTTTGCAGTTGCTTCACTGTGTTACTTCAGTGCTTCAGCTGGTGTGTTGTGATGTCCTACTGTATTCCGACTGTTGGTTTGTCCGATGGCCATCGTGATTTCTTCCGTGGTTGATGGAGTGACATCTATAGGAAGGTGTGTGTGTGTGCTGCCTCAATGTCTGGTGGATTGATTGGAGCTGGCCTATTCAAGAGTTCCTCGAAGTGCTCTACCCATCTGTTCCTCTGTTCTTAAATTTCAGTGATTGTCCTGTTTTGGTAGGTGCATAACATTGTATAAAATTCATCGTGATACCGTCATCCTTTGTTTTGAATTATCCTTTGATGATTGTGGATCCATCGAGATTCCCATCTTGTGAGTTCATTATGTGCTTCTATGAACAGCATCAGAGCAACTTTCTGAGTGTGTGATGCATTCTTTTCTTCGTGACCAGATTACAGCAGCATCTCTTCCATATCTAGCCTTTTGGTGTTCTGTTTGATTCCAATGGGCTTCACTTATTCCGAGCAGTGTCAAGATGTATCTCCTCATTTCCATAAGTATTCAATTGGTTCTCCAGGTCTTTCACATTGTCCGAACATTCTATCTATGTATATTGATTATTGCTCTGAATTTTAGAAGGGTCCTCGGCTTCGTGACTTACAAAGAATTTGGGCGTTTACCATGAGCTTTCATAATTCTTCTGAATGAAGATGCTTCAACTCGGAGGACAGAGTTGAAATAATTTAAATTGTGCTATGTGGTTAGTGTTGTTTTAGCAAGATTGTTTCATATGGGATCGGAATTCTGACTCAATACTCAATCTTCCTTCTCTGTGTGGGTTTGGCACCGGCAGTAGTGCTAGAAGAGCTACAGGTGGAGTTATTGTTGATATTCAGGATTGCAATTATTCAGTCTTGTTTTCCATATTTGCTTTTTGATGGTATTGCTTCAATACATTTGTTATGTTTCATATGTGACAACCAGATCGGTCTTAAAAATTGACAAACATCTCATTCCTTCACAGGTTATTTATCACATATTCCGTGTGTTAGTGATAACTCCCTCTCTGACTGAGTCATAGGATTGAACGCTTGTCCTAAATTCCACTACTAGCTATATACCATATACACTAAGAATTCTAACCCGACAGTAGCCGAATAAACTCGAGTAATGAAAACAACAAAATAATGTTGAGACTCAAAATGGTTCATATTAGTCATCCCAAAATTAACGATTTGATTTTATATGACAAACAACAATTCTTGATTAACATATTACAATTTTAAATGATCCACTCTGCCTTAAATCTGGCCAATTTTATGGTTGATTAATTTAGATTTATAATTGTAGAACTTGGTGAGAAATTATTGAAAAGAATGTTCTTCCCTCATATAATTGTGTTTTAATATCAGGATATTCTAGGACCGATGCCATAACTCTTCTTAATTCACCGCTAGTCCCTTTTACATAGGCTGTAAACACAAATTCACATGAGGGTATTTGCGTGTTTGGTATAGGTCCCACGTTAATTTTCATTTTCGACATATTGTTTCTATTTTAAACTATAACCTAATCGAGTTCTGTTACGCTTTAAGTTATCCACAAATCTTATCTGTTATATTGTTAATAAGATGTACAATTTCAATATTGAATTGAACAGTTTTCATTATTTTTGGTTTATTCCAGCCACAAAAGAATCGTCTACTTTAGTCAGACGTATAAATGATAATGTTGACATGTTAGCTGAACAAAGCAATACAAATGAATTAAAAGTTGTTGGACAACTTGTCTATTCATTACAGTTAGAAGATTTTGGTGCACATACTGTAGATAGTAATGCAGCTGTATTGGATATGACAAAGGGATTAGTTCATCAAATAAATGATGAAATCAAGGTAAGTGATGCAAACTTTTCTTTAAACTTGTAACTCAATAGTAAAATGATTTATCACTTTCGAAAGTTTGAAAAATTTCGAGATTGTCTTCATGGCTTCAGTAGTGAAATTGACTGAGAGAATATCAAAGATATAAAAATGCAGGACAGTTGTTTTGACATGATTTTTACACTTAATTAATAGGTTGTAATTGAATCAATGCATAGATTAGTAACATTATCTTCTATAAAATGTTAACTAGGATTCCTTCCACTGATCAAAGAATAATAATATGGAAGTACTTGACTTATTCTAAAAAATCTTTAACTGTTTGTTAGTAAGAAGTATAAATTAGACTAATTTTCTCGTGATATGTTTCTTCGGTAGTTGTTAGTATTTCTTTGATATGGTTCAGAATCCGTTCCAATGAAGCAGATGTATTGACTCACTGTCTTCCCTTAATTGTTGTGTTTGGAAGTCATCCTAAACATTTTATTAAGCAAATTCATTCTTCTCGAATCATACTGTCTATGCTTAGTCTTTCTTTTACCACTTAAGAAACTGTTACTATTATTAATCCAATGTTTGCCTTGATAATTTTATCTCGTTGTGGTGATATGGTCTAGCAACTTGAACCGATGTACGCATTTCCTAAGTTTTAGATTACATGTGACTAAGTAAACAATTTTTCTATTATACCTACTTTGTGGTCAATCCCATAAATAGTTCAAATTAAAATGTTACCACCAGTGAAGTGCTACTAATGTTTTGCAAGTTTGTGTTGAACACAACATACGTTGTCGTGTCTGCTACAGCCAAAGAATCTACAGTCCACTTTTGCCTGTGAGGTTCTGCACCCTCTAGACAAAAAAATGATTAGTGATAAGTTCAATAATTTGGGTGTTTCCTAATTCTTTATCTTGATCGAATCCTATCAATTTCAAGTCATATAGCAACTGACTATAAGTGATAAGCATTAATTCTCGTATATTATGATTGTTTGAAACCCTTATTGTCTGACTTCGATTATTATAAACGTTATTCAGTCTTTTCAGATATATAGAACCCTAATCTCGTCCTCTACCTGAAGTTGTAGAAAACGTATATCAGCAATAAACGTAAAGAAATAAATTAATACACTGAATAGGAAATTAAATTTACTTATATTATTATCTCTTGCTTTCATATCATCCAAACATGTGTGATGACAACGTCTATGCTACTTACAATGATAGTCTGAACCTTCAGATATACGATCAACCCGTGAATATCAAGTGGCTATTGAGCTAGAACTGTGGCGTGCAGCAGAAGAAGCCAAATTCATTGCTCAATTAAAGAAACGAGAACAGACACTGATGGCTACACTTGCTGAAGAATGGCATAAAAGAGATAGTCAACGCGAAATTATATGTCGTAAAAAGGTAGGTTTCTAGTCATTTCTATCGGTACATAGCATTTACTGGAGAGAATCACGATCCAGTATACTAAAGTTCTTTTAATAGTAGCTAATCAATAAGTGTGAAGATGCCACAAGTACTTGGAGTCGACAACACCTTAACCAGCAACGCCTTCTATAATCGAAGCGTGCCCACACAGTAAAATCGGGAGTCAGAAGCGAAGAGGTTCGAAGATATACTTGATAGGTTATCAATATATCGAGAAGTGACTGATCTAAACTGGCTAGCGGTTGTAGAAGTTGAGCACAGCGTCCCCACTCGTGATCTGGTGCAGATGCGTGACCAAGAGCCTTCAGTTAGGTGAGTTAATAAAAACTAATGTGGTCAGCATCAAATGTCGAAGACTTACAGAGCTAGTGATTTCGGGGATTTATTTATTGCTGCAAGTGCTTCTACTTTATAACCTTGCAAGGCCGCTACTGAATTTTATAAACTCCACCTATAATTGGGTTACAAACTTATACATAACTCTCAACGCCTGATTATAATGGTATTTCTTGACACGCTGATATAGTGAGTTGATCAGAAGTAGCCAAATACTGTCAATTGACGATAATCACAAATGACCTGAAGGACAAATGCATATGATTGGCTAGGAAATGGACTCATTTTCTATGGGGCAGAATTATGTATATGAACATTTTGCATGTTATTCGGTATTTCACTTGAACTGATGTACGTACGTACGAAGTTCTACGTTGTTGCTGACTGACTGTTCGGTATTTCAATAGATTTTCTCACTCGCTCAAGTAGTCAGTTTTGGAGGTTATTTTAGTATCAGATCACGGACACCCACATAATAATAGAAGATATCATTCAACTATTATTATTATTATTATTAATGGATTTATTCAATATTATATTTTGGTAAAATATAGAATTCTCAGCACAGAGTATTTCAACAAGTTACTTACGAAAAAAAACAGTAACAAAAACAAAAAAAGGTTTTAAAAAAACGAAAAACTACGAACATGAGGACGATTAGTCAAAATTGTTTGTTATTAAAACGTGTACTGAATAAGTACATAAACTTCGTGATGACTAACAGTGTTGATGAACCCAGATTTAATGATGAAATTCTATTTGGATTGGGAATATTGGATGGTGATTGCCAATGTTACTCACTGTCACCGTATCTGTAAAAAGCTTATTATAGACATACTCTCAGGAATAACGTTTTTTCAATCTAAATTGTGAGGGTTCGATGTTTTACGATGTTATTCACCTATCGACGTGGAATATGCAGATGACTTAGTTCTGCCTAATGAAGATAAAATGCAGTTTTTTGATCTAATTGATAAACAAGACAAGCTTGTCTGGTATTCTTCTCTCTCCGCGTAAATTCGAAATGACTGGTCTGCATCAATCCCTAGTGTTATAATGTTGCGTTAATCATGCTCAATAATCCGACTGTTATATAAAGGATCAGAAATAGGTCTAAACGAAAATTTGTTATTACAAGATACAAAGGGCAGAAAAATAAATTAAAATATGAATATTTACTTGTATCAGACGCGTTTATTTGCATTCTGACAAATCACCGGATTGAAATATCGCATAGTCTAGATATAGGGAGAGGGATAATTGAGTACAGTGATCCATTACTTATTTTGGAAGTTTCGTTAACCTTAGCGAATTGGTGTCTGATGAGACTTCGACACGGATGTCGAAAGTCCGCTTGACATATGCGTTTGCTGAACAACAGACGAGACATAGGTGGTAAAACTGAGACTTGATACCAGTCCATGTCATGTTGCTAGATGTAGACTACTTGGCCGTGGTCCATGCGGTAGCTGCGACCAATCGTTGGTTAGCATGGCTCAGAAGGGATCACAGGCGCGCAGATGCACCCATATTTAATTTCCTCTTAAGTCTTGAGTATTATTTTGTGCTTTCAATTCTTCTTTTTCTTAGAACCATATTATTATTATATAATTTTCACTATCATTGATAATACTGTTATTCCGACCCAGTACTTATTCGTATAGCTGTACCTAAGACCTGGGCTAGGATACAATTGATTATGACTGATTACGAAAAATGAATACAACACTTATGATACGTTTTCATTACCCGCAGCCCCTTATGATAACTGGTGTTTTACAACACTAATTATTAAATTCTTTTACTGAAAACTACTTCTAAATAATATCAGTGTCAAGGATAAGACAATCCATCATGATTGAAATCTTGTTACACAAAAGAACATTAAGTGACGACTGAATCAATCGTATGAACGACCTAGCTTTATTCCATTCAATTACGACTGATAGAAACATAGGGAGGTTAGAATGAAGCACAATTTAATTGTTTTCAGTTTATCAAATTAGTCACTGTATACTACTGTACATGTTTTAGTCCTAAAGTTCTAACTAAGGATACTGGGAATATAATTGTCCGACCAAATGAAACACAATCCAACCAATGAGGTAACGTAGCTCACCATAAAACATGTTAGCCACATAAGTCCCTTACAATACAAGCTGATTTGTCCCAATTAAGTAAACGAATTGACCCAACACAAAATTTAGAATAAGATTTACCTTTTTACCACATTCATAGACCAATGGTTTTCTATATCTCCTGGTTGTGCATAATGGGTCGGTGAATCCCCGTTGACCAAATCTAACAAATTACCGCCTACCCCGAAGAGCTACCTAGACTAAGATAAGGGTACGTTGGGGGGAACACAAGACCTAGATATGGCATTGCTCAACATAGTACTAATTTCTGCTGTCAGGAGCTTCAAATCATAAATAAAGTAATACAGAAACCTCCCTCAGAGCTATCAATGTTAATATTACTCCTAATTTTCAACAACTGATATTACTATTTAAGCCTGCTTTTCATGCGGTCGATTTCTTTTTGTGGTGACGCAGACCGTGACATCTTTCGTCGATGAATATTTGTCTCAGAACCGATATTGTTTATGCTTGACTGATACGACGGAGACTATTCCTAAGTATAATGCAATATAAATACTATGTCTCTTCATCAGTTCTTTTGCATAAATGAGACAATTTAATTTGCTCTTTATCTCACTCTACGTACATTTAGCTTTCTGAATATCAAGCTCTGGAGGAAAAATTGCGCAATACACTCATTGAACTTGCTACTAGAGAGCGTCAGCTAACCGCAGGTGAGGCAGAATTGGTACGCCTGAAACAAGAAAATGCAAGGGAATTGGAAGTTAGACGCAAAGAATTGAATCAACAGTCTCAAGTTCAGATTCGCGATTTAGAAAGTCAGATGAAATTGGAGAAAAAAAACTCTGAACATTGGAAGTCACAAGTAAATTTAATGATACCTCTCCCTTGTAAACTGTAATGTTTTTACTGTTGGCTTTGAATCCAATTTACAGATATACTCTATATAATTATAAATATTGCATTTCTATCTCATTTACAGATAGTTGAATGGCGAAGTAAGTATGCTTCTCTGGAGGAAGAGAATAACAGTTTAAGAAATGAAATAAACTGCAGATTGAAAAAGTCGGTAGATAACAAAGCGTCCAACGAAACACCTTCGATAAACAATGAAGTAGCCCGACTGACTGCAGAATTAGCAGTTGCTCGGGCTACACTATCCGAAACAGAATGCCGTTTAGTTGAAGTAGAACGTGGTCGAGCAAGATACCGTCAGTTATGGACGAAATCTCTGCATGAACTAGCCAAGGTAAAACAAGAAGCAGATGAAGCTACTCGAATTTCACTGGCACAAAAAGAAGCAGAACTTGAACAACTAAAGTCTTACTATTTAAATGTTGATGAAAAACAACCAACTAGCCAAGATTTAAAAGAAGCGACAGACTTGGAACGGTAAGTGAATATTTGGAATGTCTATTAATCAAGTCGGCTCACGTAGTACTACATGAGTGTCCCCTGCTTTTAGAAGAATTTTAATGTAATTTATAGACTAATAGAAAATAAGTTTTAAATGTACCACTTTAAACAGATAAATTGAAGAACTTAAGGCAATTTCAGCGAAGAGAATTTTTCCTTCGATCATAGCATTTGCTAAAACTGTACAATCGTATTTAATAAGTATAAAAATTAGAAATAAAGTAACACAGTCAAGAAGATTATCGTCACTGGATTGATTACCAAGCACAATAAATAACCGTTAAGCTATACCAAATGATATAACCGAAGAGGAAACCCTCGACGATAAGACTATCTTGAATTGTTTCTTAATATGTCAGTAGATGATGCCCAGTTTTATCTAATGCGCTCTACCTCACTGACTACTATTCTGAAAATATTGTAACTTATTCGCGACTAAACTCACCAGTTATTTAGCCGTCTTCTTAGAGTTGACGCTTCAGTTTTGTTGATTATGAGGCTTTTGCACTACAGATAACTTTCTCGGTTTATATTTTTCCTTCTCAAATCATACATATACATATATTTCCTATGCTGAATATGCTTTCCGGTGATTTTCAGCTTTTTGTAACATCTAGTGAACTCAAGCGCCATTAGACCAGAGCTAGGACAATTGCGATAATTTCAATGTTTTTTCCAGAGGACTGTAAGTTCGTATACATACACTCACATTGTTTGCAGTTATGAAGTTGTACTACTAAGTAATCGCTTACAGCGTAACAACCATCAAACATTGAACGATAGGACGTAAATCACTAATACGGATGTTTAATGTTTGACGTAAAACAGAGGGGTTATTAGTATCAACGTGGAGCAAAATAAGAACTGTAAAATATATTATTCTCACAATCATTTATGCGTTAGAATTTGGACGTAAAAAAATAAATTGGTGTACAACTGCAGTCAGTTGTTCAATATTACCCAAACAAAGTTTTCAACAGGAGTTATTTTATTTTAACCCCTTGCTTCTATGTTTCGTACGGATCCGGATGATTAATACACAATAAATGGACAGCAAATATTTGTAGAGTTGATTGACAAGATACAGATAAATACTTTCACGAATATACTGAAATGAGTGACGATTTGAAAATTTTGAGCAATATCTTGAGGTAGGGTTAAGTACTGAATGTATTGATACATAAGCTTGGATGGAGTCGTTCTGTTATTGGTCATGGTTTACAATACATCCACAAGACAAGGTGATTAAATGGAAACAGATTCTCAAAGCAATATTAACACTCCAGTACTTCTAGTTACTTATATGTGTAAAGAAGAAGTGTAATAGTTATACGCAACATTAAGGTTTATTACCAAGGTTCAGGAGTTTACCGTTTGGTTTTTTAAAAGTGCATAAATTCTGTTTACTCTCGTTCTAAGTGATTGCTTTTTTTGAAAAAATGTGAACTACATCGCATTTCCCGCTATTTTTCTTCACCGACACTCAACATATTATCTTCCTTTTATAGGTGCACCAACCTAACAAATTAGACTTTTTTAAACTAACTGAATAATTTCTCAAAATTTACTTCGAGATGTGGCTTTACTACAGTAGCTATATATTGTTTTGGTTTTTAGATCCAAAATGAATGAAGAAATGACTACTGAAATAAACGTTTCTGATGTAAAGTCTGTGGTGGATGAGAAAATCGAAGCACAAATTACTCGGCTGATTGAAGAACGTGACGGTCTACTAAATACTGGTGTTTACGAAAATAGTGATTCTTTAATTGTTGATCTTGATCGACAAATCAGACACCTTTTAGGGAAAATATAATTCCATCTATTTGCTTTTTAATAAATACAAAGCTGCTTGTAGTCAAACAAGTTGTGTCAAAAAAACTCAAGGAAGCATCCTCATAACCAATGAAGAGTTTATTAAGTTACTAAAGGATGGACTTAATACGTTTGTGAATATGGATGATAGATCTCCACATATAATGAGCTACTAGAAGTTGCCTCCTTTCAATAAAAGATGTGCATATAATCAACGGATGTCATCTCAGATCATATGAACTTGTGGAATAAGCAGTTAGAAATACTCCTGTGAATGGTAATATCTCGCATGGTCATACTGTGGTCCGAGCATTAAGTCAGATTGGTAGTCAGTGATTATGTGGAATTATGTCGAAAACAAAGCAAGATGCACCTCAAAGCACTTGGTGGTAAAGCATGGTTTGCGTGCCTTAACTGCCCTAGCACTTCAAAGGACAGGAAAGAATCCTGAGGAAGTTGAACAGTCGCCTAAGGTGTCCGAAACATTATATTTCACAAGTAACTTCATCAGGCAGCCGTGATCATTTACTCTTAGTTGGTTGTTTATGGGTGTGAAATAGGCTGTTGTATAGCTATACAAATAGACACCTCATTCACCCAACTTATGACAAAACCAAGCGTAAAGAAGCACGACAGTCCTGGTTCATAGCTTCCCATAAGCCTCGATATAAATCAGTATCCAGGGGAACCTCCAGGAGGTTGTTGTAATTGCTCATTAAGCTTCTCGGTTGACGCTGGCCGGCGACAGGATAAATATTCGGACCGGTGGAACTCGATAGCTTTCCCGATTTTTCTTTATATACCTTCAAATTAAGCACAGGACTTCTATAGAGTTTGAGCTCTTGTAAATTAGATTACCTGAACCCGTGCTTACTTTGAGACACATGAGCATTTCACTTTACCTAGCTTTACTGCAATATCATGATTTTTACAAGCCTAGACCGAATTCGTTATTTATCAGTACAAAGTTGTGATTATTGAGCGTTATTAGAATTACCAAGTGAAAATTATCATGTGGTCAGTAGTGAGTAGCTTAGAGAGGCGATCTTCGGGGTTCTAGTGTGAAGCTGGGACTAGTGTTGTGGGATAATTACCCACCGAAGACAATGGATGGTCGCGCAATATCGCGGAGTGACTGAAGTTAGGTGCCGGAAGAGCGGTCTAAAGGTTAAGCGTTCGCACATGAGAGCAGAGATCTTGTTTGTGATTCCTACGGGTGGTATCATGTATATGCACTGCTGAGGTGCCACCTACTAGGGCGAAACGACCGTCCAATGCTTCCAGGTTTTTAATGGTAGTTAAACACTGGTCGCTTTATGATTTCAACGAGTTCGTCAGCTTATATTTGCAACTAAGCACTTCCCCGTCATGATTTATGAGACAGATAACCATCATTTGCGAATACTTCAATGTCCAGGAATTATTTCTTTTACTGCGGAGAAAAGCGATAAACCGTCCTCACCCTTGAAAAACTATTTCCGAATTTAGTTTACAATAATGGGAACATCACAATTAGGAGAAAAAGTTAAGACAACAATATCGAGGTAGTTACTTAAAACAAAGGGTCTCAGATATACTTCTTATAGGTGAACGATATCGAATTCGGTGGCTCAGAGAAAAACAGGCGAGTGATGCCGACCCATTCGACAAGCAACGGTTTGGATACTTTGGGGTGAAGTACATTGAGCTGAGAAGCTCTCAAGAGTTGTCCGTAAATTGCACGCCAAAATGCGAAATGAATAAATGGAAGTGTTGACAATAGTCGACAGCGTCAATGCTTAATAATTGTAATGTGACAGCTGTATAATTCATCCACAGCGTGGGAAGCTTCATTATTTTGCTTAACACTAACACAACGAAACATGACCAAAGTGAGCTGATACAGCATAGAGACAAACATGGTAACTAGCTCTCAAAGTAAAAAACTCTAACAATGGTAGCTCACAAAAAAAGTAAATAGCTGTGCTCAGTATAAAACAACATAGTAACGACAGGCCGTAAGTTTAGGACTTGCTAATTTGTTTGATCCGCCAAAGGTCTGTATACTCCTGTCATCTAAAAACGCTTCTGCATTTAGTTATCTTAGTATCTTGTGTGATATTGCCTATCTAATTAGATGAATGCGCAGTAACGTCAGGATAGCCTATCAGGTAACGCAGGAACTCAATGGCCGTTAGCATATTTACTAAGCACAACTTGGTTTTTACAACTCAGACATGGTTGAGAATTGAGAATAAAAACAGGTAGCAGTGTGTGACCTAAGTGTGAAGACATAATGTGACTTATTCAACGCAACTATAAATGCCTTGAATGAGTGGCGCACCTGTCGAACTAACGACAGGATTTAGAGCTCGTTTTAGAAACCGTTGAAAAACTTCTAAGTGCCTTACTAGAAAAAAAATCCCATCGATTCACAAAGACCAAGGTTCACTTACACATCTCAACACCAACCAATCATACAAGTAGCAGCTCGGAAGATGTCTGCCCTTAAGAAAACATCACATTCACGTATCGAGAAATGACGAATGCACAAACAAGTCAGATGTCGGGTTGACAAAACACCAAAGTAGACAAAATGATAAACAGCCACTTCAGTGTAGTGAATATGGACTTCATGCAATTGAAAACAATGTGGGAAATCGCCTCATTGAATAGTAATGGTAGAAGATAGCTACGTTGGGTGCCAACATTTCAAAAAGATTTGTAAAATTATAGTAGCTCATTCTTCCAAACAAAAATGACCGACTAACTACTTCTCAAACGGTGAATGAATGAAAGGCAAAAGCTATCAAAATATTGGGTCAAGAATAGAATTAGAGATTGATTTGTAAAGCGAACGAAATTGTGTATACAGATAATAAATCAGCACACAGCTATAGCTATGTGAAACTAAATCATGTAACAGTTCATTTATTAGACACGCCGGTCATAATCTACACGTGCTTCCGATCTCAGATGATATTCCAGAAGTCGCAAGGAAAGAAGCTTATTTACGACACTTAGCTACGTAACTATGAATGACCATGATTTTTCGATGCGTGATGAAGACACAAACAACTTTCAAGAGTTTCAGAAATCGTTGTATTACTTTTTATATCACAATACACTACATACTTCAATTATGCTACATCATTTGATTATTCAGCGAGAAAGCCTCTCTAGGAAATAATATTAACGTAATTGTGCTACCTCATAAAAAGCAACTTCTTCATCCGTTATCCTTTTCCTCCGAAACTTCGGGTTAATAAGAGAGGCTTCTACTGCCAACTCTGGAGGCACTGATGACTTCACAACAAAAGTTGAGTTGATGCGAGTTTGTGAATCCCCAGAATTTCTCGAACTTGAAGAGAACATATGTTAGTCGTACAAATTACATGTTTATGGAGTTTTTCAACTGACTGCGGAACTTTATTAGTGGCACATGTTTCTTAATCTAAGGGACAGCTATAATAGTTACATTTATCTCACCAGGACAGTCAGACTAGACATTTTCAAATGACCGCGTGTTTCTGCAATGCACAGTGGCTCAAATGGTTCAAATGGTTGTGGACGGAATAGAAGAAGCTTTCGCTTAACAGGCTTCCGTGTCTAGTAGCAGGGGATCACCAAATCCTCCAGGCAGGAACCTAGGTATGTTAACAATAAAAGAGGAAAAGAAATTGGTAAATCATAGTGCGATGCTGTCCTTGGTCCTTAAGAATAGGTCAAGTTGCCTCTTGAAGGACTCCTGAGAAGTCGCTTGGACTAGCTCGGCCGGCAGCGAGTTCCAGCTTTTGACAACTCTCAAGGAGTAGAATTTGTGTCTACATTCCGTCTTGCTATGTTGTGTTTCCAGTTTCTGGGTGTTACCCCTTAGGTTATTGTTCGAACTAAGCTTAAGTAGGTGTTTAAGAGGATGTCCAGAAGTGTTAAGAATATTATAAGCCATTAATAAATCACCTCTAAGACGCCTATATTCTAGTGGGTAAAGGTCTAGTGAACGGAGGCGTTCTTCGTAAGGCTTAGATTTGAGTCCTCGAACTGATTTCGTGGCTCGCCGTTGGATACGCTCCAAAGTGACCTTATCCTTTTGGAGTGAGGGGGGAGTACTATGTTTCCGTACTCTAAATGGGGACGGATGAAACTATTGAAGATTGTGTGGAAAGTTCTTCCGTCAAACTGACCAAAAATGCGCCTCAACGTTACCAGTGCAAGGTTTGCTCGGAAGGCATTTTTGTCACAATTAGTGTAAGACTTTAAGTCATGGGGCACCAGGACTCCTAAATCTTTTTCGACTTGGGATACTACTAGAGAGGAGTTTCCTAAGTTGTAACTGTAGTTTGCGACATGTCGCAGATGGACTACTTTACACTTAGAAGTGTTAAAGGTAACTCCGTTATCGTCTGCCCAACTTTGAAGTCGAGTCAGATCCTCTTGAAGTGCCTGTATATCGTCTTGGTTGCGTATCTCTCTCCAGAGTTTCACGTCGTCGGCAAAAAGTAATAAGTCTGACGTAACCTGTTGAGGAAGATCATTTATGTAGATCAAGAAGAGAAGAGGCCCTAGTACTGAGCCCTGGGGGACCTCACTAGGACGTTCCATAGCCTGAGATAAAGTGAAATTAACCCTAACCTTAAAGTGTCGATTTTTTAGGTATGAAGTAAGCCAGTCGATTAGAGGTGGTTTGATACCTAGTCGTTTGAGCTTGTCGATAAGACACAAGTGGTTAACCTTATCAAAAGCTTTTGAGAAATCAAGGTAAATGACATCAACCTTTCCCTTGCGATCGAGGATGCTTGTCCATCTGTCCACCGCAGTCAGCAGGTTGGTTATACAAGAGTAACCCTTCCTGAAACCATGCTGTTGGGGTGAGAAGAAATTTAAGGACAGTAAATAGTCATTTAAACCGTCGCATATCAGGGACTCCATGAGTTTTGAAGGTAATGACAGAAGAGCCACCGGCCGATAACTTGAAGGTTCATTCCGTCGACCTCCTTTGAAAATTGGTGTGATGTGAGCCAACTTCCAATTTTCCGGTAATTTGCCTCGGCTTAGCGAGTGTGAAAACATCACGCTAAGCGGCGTTGCCAGGATTGAGGCTGCCTCCCTCAGTATGGCAGGATGAACCATATCCGGGCCAGGAGAAGTGTCAAGTCTTAAGTGCTGCAGTTTCCGGAACACCAAGTCAACGCCTAGGTCCACTTCAGAAAGTCCTGTGGAATTGCAGATGAAACTGTCATGAGTAAAGTTGATATCAGCCGGTTGAAATGTTTGAGAGTAATGGGCCGCCAGAAGGTTAGCGGCGTCGCCATCGTTGTTGGTCGGGCCGTTAGGACCTAGCAGTTGAGAAACTCCTGTTTTGGCTTGACGAAGAGAGGCTGCATAACGGAATAGGCTTCTAGGGTTAGAGGCGAATTTGTCCATAAGCTTTGTTTGGTACTGAAGCCTGTCTTCTCTTACAGCCTTCGTACATATGTTCCTGATATGTTTATATTGCCTATACGCTCCATCGTTATTAGTTCGTTTGTATTCCGCCCAACAGTGTCTTTTGCGGCTTAGCAGGCGAAGGGTACGGTTCTTGATTACTGTAGGTGGCTTGAAGCTTTTGGGAACCGTTTGAGGAACTGAGTGGTCTGTAGCACATAAGAGCGTGTGCAGCAAGAAGTCCCAATGACCGTCCACATCGAGTTGAGGGTGAACATCCCAAACCACCTGTTGTAGATGGTCATGTAGAGCTCGCACATTCAGCCGTTTAAAATTCCATCGCAAATTATTGTTGGGATACCTTAGCTCAGTTTTGATGACAAAACTGAAGGCTATGACGGCATGATCGCTCTTTCCCAGGGGAGCCAGGATTGAGAGGTTGTCGACTAGGAATTCTTCGTTAGTGAATACACAGTCTAAGCGCGATGGTGTCTGACTGTTTCTCCAACGAGTTGCCGACCTCACATTTTCATATAAGCCCAAGTTATCGATGAGGTTGAAGAACCGAGCTTCAATTGAGTTATCGCCCCCAGTGTACGTGTGTTCCGCGAAGTCGACTCTAGGGAGATTAAAGTCCCCTAGAATCAGGATGTGTGTGAAACCGAGACGGATAGAGCGGGATAGTCCTTCCAGCATACGACTATCGATTGTTAAACTCGAGGTTATGAACTTGATGCACCTCCAAGCAAGAACGTATGTAAACAGCTACTCCTCCAACAAATCCTGATTTTCTGTCATTGCGGAACAAAGACATCCCAGGCAATGCTTACTCATGGTCCGAGAACTGAGAAGATATCCAGGTTTCAGATATTCCTATCAAATGGGCCTTATTAGCATTGCTAAGTTCACGTAGTTCATCCAATTTGTTTGGTAGACTCGCGGCGTTCATATATAAGCAGTTTATGCTTTCAATTTGGAACGCATGAGCTTCGTCCTGTTTGTCTGTATGAACCTTATGTGAATGGACAGGAAGCCCACCTATATGAGGTTTTCAGAGGTGGTAGGCCCTGTCCGTTACACGTTTTTTTTATCGTTTAGACAGTCCACAAGTGGAATGGTCAGCTCCAGCTTGCCTTTGTTCTTGGTCCTGACTTCGTATGGCCTATCCCGGTGCATGTGGATTCCAGGTGGCAATCGACGTCTATTAGCACGAAATGCTTCCAGAACTGCAGCCGCCATGTGGGAAGATGGGAAGGTTATCTTCATTAGACGGGGTCTAAGATCACCGTCCTTCTTGGCTAGTCTCGTCACATGCTGAGTCAGTATGTGTTTGAGCCTCAAGGACTGTTTGATGAATTTCCATTCCCTGATGTCAGAATTTGATTGAGTAGGGTCTGTATTTTCCGGTATACCTTGCACAATTATGTTTCTTCCGCGGAAAAACTTTGTAACAGCTTAGGTTGGTAGGTTAAGAGTTGACCCCAAACAACCAAGCATATGCCAAAACAGTATTGTTCAAGTATTCATTCACTTCCTTATTTTGTATAAGCGTTATATTCCCTATTATCTTATATTGAATGTTGAGAGCCTTTGTCTGAACAGATAATCCCACGCTCCACTGTGACTGCGCGAAGATCGAAATAAAGACCTATTCACTACTTCTCTGGTTTCTTCTATCAATAGCACGATGGTTACCTTAAGGCACGAAAACTTCTCGCGAGATTCTTTAGGGATGTTTCGTATGATATTGCGCTCAGAGTACGGTATGTCGGGCAATATTCTTACGTTACCATCTGATTTCAACAAGTGACTTGCTAACAAGACGTCCTCTACGTCGGTAGCATTCTTAAGTGTTACTCGGAGAAGCCTCAAGTGATTTAGATGCTTAGAATCCTTTCCTCGAGTGAGCCGGGTGACCGTCAAAGGCTCTATTCTAGGAAGTTCGAGCTTTTTGTTCAATTCACCCCACAGCATCCTGTCGTTTTTATCCTGCAGACTGAGAGGAAGGTCAGGATTGTCGACGAGGTTCATGATAATGAGAGAATCGTCACGAACTGTTGTTAATTTACCAGGTTTCACGATGGGTTCACGTTTAATAACTTGTTGTTTGGAGGTCAGTGTGCGTTTATGAATCTTGGGCTCTTTATTGACCGGACGAACAGTCTTGGGGGTAGACTGTGCGACCAAATCACCAGTTATTTTCCGTGCAGCAACACTTGGGTTGCTCGGCTTAGGCGGTGATGCCTGGTTCTTTTGGGCTCTCTTAACGTGGGTCGAATCACCTGCAGGGTTTTTGGGAACCACTGTTGTGTTCAGGGACCCTGAGCTGGGAGACCCGAGTTTGCCTAGGGAGTCTAGTACCGTCGACGTAATGATGGTACTGAGCCTCGACACGTCGTCATTAGTGTTGATGGATGCTCCATCGATGGTATACCTATCGACATCCCTATTTTTGTATCCATCGCACGCTCTTGTTTGTCTACCGGTTTTTTACTATCGTTATCCAAGTTAACTGACAACTTGTTCCGAAGACCTGTCAGTAGGACAATGATGTTACTCAGCAAGACTACAGGGTCCGTGCTGCACGTGACACATACCCACTTTTGATCTGACTTGCTGAGTCTGTAGAACTATGGTCTACTATAATATTAGTACTGCTCTAATAATAGACCTAATCCTAAAATTTTAGATTTGTCATTGTATAACTGCCTAATCTATAAGATCTTAGGTGGAAGTCACACCATCGACTACACCAACTCACTGTATCGTATCAATTACCAATACATGATGTAGAACAAGGTTGGGCCAGAGAAGGAACAATATATTTAATATGAGTAGAAGATATAAGGTAACATTCAGAGGGACCACGCCTGCATGGCCGAGCCATGCCATCCGATCAACTCAGTCCATTCAATTCATTGTTCGCGCCTTCTCCATTGTTAGGTATTTCTCCGCGTTAAATATTGAATATCTATTTTCTGAGTAGTCTCGTGTTCACAGCTTTGTGGATTGTGTGGCTATTGTCCAATCTCACTACAAGTCTGTTGTAAGCAGTTGGTGTCAGATCTACGCATGCTTCGTGAAACCAACCTTTGCAGTTGTCGCACTGCATGCCAGTTGTGACAGCAAAACGGCATCCCGGACGTTTGCATGAGTTTTTCATGACGGTGTTGAAGCAAACTATGTTATAGATGCTGGCAAAAGCTTAAGACCTTTTTAAAAAAAACACTAAAA